ACAATGACCTTGTATTTAAATAGATGGCTTTTTAAAATTTCTATTTATTTATTTTCATTTATTTATTTCGTTTTATTTCAACAGGGCAGCTCCATCAGTAGTTAAAATACTGTTATACTTGGGGGGGGGGGGGGCCTGCATGACATAAAAATACATATACAGACACACATATACATGAAAACATCATTACATGGTGAAAAGTAAACGTGATATACCAGAAAGAAAACAGATAAAATTTAAAATGTAAATGAAAAAAAGCAAGTCATCAAGAAAATCACACATAAACACATTTGGAAAACAAATCCTTATATCGTATTAACAGAGTGTCTAAACACTACAAGTATACATAATTTGTAGTTTGTAGGATAATTCTCTAGATCAAATGTCTAGTGCAAAGAACGTGGCGACATGAAATTACACTTGAAATGAAGTACTCATAGAGTAAACATTAAAGGGAAAAACGATAGTTCAGCTCTGTACACTTTTGTCCTTCGGAATACTGATATCCATGAAATTAAATAACAGTTATACTGATATAAATATACGCGCTTGACAAGCTCATGTTAATACCGCCTACATGTCTAAATAGAATAGAATTGTGTAGGGCCTTCTGTAGTCATGTCATACCTTACTTGAAATAAGGGATTGATATTCAATATAAAGGATATTTTGGGCCCACTTTATTATTATATTTTTTGTGTAGATCCATACATCTGATTTTTCTGAAATAAAACCGTATGAAGTATTTAGTCACTGCTGCTATACATTTTAACGCATGCAAATCATCTGAAAGTTGTAAATGATATACAATACAATACAACTGACTTCTGATATCATCTAACATATTGTATGCACGACAAAAGATATGATTCATAAATAAAAATAACACTTCACATTTTTGCACTTTGATTACTATTAGAACGATGTTTTTAGAAAAAATAAACAACATATTATATGTTATATGATATAAAATTTTATATCATATAACATATAATATGTTGTTTTTATTTTGTATCAATGATGATATTGTGCTTAAAAAGTTTGGCTGTATCATATCTTAATGTACATCTGAAATGAACGTGCTCTTACACATTAACAGAAAAATGTTTGTCGGAAAAATTTGCAAGATGAGTACAACAAATTAAATGCCTGAATGGTTACAGGAAAGCTTTTGAAATATTTTGCTTCCAAATGAAATGACTGAAATTACACGAGACAAATACATAAGAGCTCTCCGGTAATATCTGTATATTCATTATTTATATGTGTGTGTGTGTGTGTGTCTGTGTCTGTGCGTGCATGTGCGTGTGTGTAATTGAGTGGGTCCATAGACACATACTACACATATACATATATATATATATATATATATATACATATGAATGTGTATGAGTATCACGTAACCTGAACAATAAGAGGAAGAAGGAAGAATTTGTGTAGCCTATTTGAATAAACAGTTGGCTAATATTAGCATGAAACTCGCAAAGACATTCTCTTCATTTCACACACCTTCCAACACCTGGATCTTTATTTACATCACAATCATATACATGCATATATATGTATATAATATATTTACATAATTGAATATACGTATAATATAAGTAAAAATATACGTGTAATGATTGAATATATATTAAACGATTTTTTTTTTTTAACGGAGTGCGTCGTCGTTTTTAGCACCATTTTAAAATGTTTTATTGGCTACAATGCATTACCCTAGCTCCCAGTAAACTTCCATTTTGTCGTTGTCTCTTTTTAAAAATCAACAACTGTATGAATAGTTTGTTGTAAAGGCTATGTTGAATCATTTAGAGGATTTGATAGATGATTAATAACTTTTGAACATCTGCAACCTAGGTGCAATTTGTTGGTAAAATTGTTTGTCTATATGGCGTTGGTTTCACTTTCGTCTTCATCTGCATTAGCCTTTGTGAATAGTCTCTTCTAAGATTTGTTTCAGAAATCAAATATTAAAGGTCAATCAAACCCATTTGTATGAAAGCAGAAAAAGAAGAAAAACAGATTGTCGAAACTTTGAAATAAATGGGACAATGATAATAGTAGCGTTATGAATGTTTAAAATTATATGAGATCACTCAAATCTACGCGAATCTCAAATTGTAAATTTGGTTAGTTGATAGTCACGGACAACACTACCGTTTGTCGTGTACAAAAATATAATTATTGTGTTATGTTTCCACTAAGTGCGTCATCCCTTAGCCTAAGGCACTACTCAAAATGAATTATGTATAGCATATTGTTGTAGGTCCTCTAAAGAGAATAAACCCACCCGAGTAGTACATTTAGAAAAAAATTATATTTTAGTCATTTTGTTCGTTGAAATACATGGGGAAGTTGTTCGGCTCTCGGCCACAGTGACATTACCTATTCAGCCAATTTGAATAGTGATCACAACATGAAATATCCATAACTTTCTTATTTTGTCCGCTTTCATTCAAACTGTCATCACTCCGTTTCTCTGAGTTTTGAGCTTTCTATATATTAAAATGCTTGTCTATAAAGGTTGGATTTTCATTCAATATAGGATTGGTAGGATGAAAACTGTTTTAGTTACATTTCTAACATGGAATATGCCTCAGGGATTCTCGATCAACATATGTTTTAATGATTCTTTTACATCATAACTTTGCCTCACCCTTTGGAAACGAAAAATAAAGAAGAAAAAAAAATGGAGTAATTGTAAAGACACACTTGATCCAAATTTACCCTTCAACTCGATAAAAAATTATACCAAGAAATGATAACGGTCTTTTCAAAACGCTAATCTGCTTAAAAATTTTCCTTTTTGTTTGCTGAGGTCTTTTCGATTTTTCGACGCTCCGTTCCCATACAAAATGAAAACAATTATATTATTTTGTATTCTTAAAAAGATTATTTGTTAAGAACATTTATAGGCGATTTGCCTAAATGTGTTGAGTAATATCTCATGTTTTTTTTTAAAGATTTGTAATCATAACACGATAGCCACTACTTTCGAAAAATCAACCTACGGAATTTCAATAGGCCATTTTCGTAATGTCACCAAATGTAATGCATAAGTCTTTGTGAAGTACCTCAATACATATTATTTCATTCACCTGATAAGAATAATAGTATTTCAATAGACAGAATCCGTACTGCATATATTAGTTGTTGCCAGGTAGGACATAAATTATGTCTTTAACCTACCTAACAACGCAGTTGGCATTCTGACTATTGGAATACTATTATTCTTATCAGATGAATGAAATTATTAGTATTGAGGCACTTCACAAAGACTTATGTATTACATTTGGTGACATTACGAAAATGGCCTATTACATTGTGTGTCACCTATTGAATGTGCGAACATGGCAATGACGTAATCCGAACATGATTTCTGTGGGAACTAAAAATTAGGCATTGAAATTGCCCCTGATTTTATTTTCGAAAATAGCTGCGGTCGCGTTTCATGAAAATAACAATAATATAAATCATCGTTATCATCATCATCATCTTTGTAAATAATTCTTTTTGGTTAAAAAATACAAACCATTTTTACTTCTTTAACTGCTGATATTAGTTTCGGGGGGGGGGGGGGGGGGGGGCGAAAATGCGTTTTGCCCCCCCCTAATTTGTTATTTAGGGGCGACCCCCCCCCCCACCAATTTCGGCGCCTATGCTTCATTTGATATATTTGTTTAGTTTTTTTAAAGTTTTTTTTATTGCTTTGTTTTGTTCTATATTTGTTTAGTTCTTTTGTTTTGTTTTATTTTGTTTTTATTATTAAGACTATTGCAAGAATGTATTCGTAAACGAAGTGAGCCAGTGGAAGAAAAAAAAATTAACATGTGAAAAGGGACAGATAGATAAAGCCTTCACGGCATTTCAAAACTCACGATGCAATTTGAAATCGATGGATAATTGTTATTGTGATAATTTTGTTTCCTGGATGCATTTGAAAAGCTACTTTTCTTCCTTACCTGAACAGTGCCCTCTGTAGGGTCTGACTGGTTATTTTTCCATCAGTGCAAATGGTTCATATATTGAAGTCATTATTTTTTGTTTACATGAATTGTCGACAAAATCTGCCTTATTCTTGCTGTTATTTATGCATGTTTTAATGCCCAAGCTCTATTATTCTCTTATTATTTTCTTACCACTAACATCAGACTTGACATATTATTATATTGTGAAAAATAATATTCTCTGTGAGCGTTTTTGTCCCTTTCATTATGGAGGGGGGGGGGGGGGCCGGGGGGGAGGGGGGCGGCGGGGTGGGGATAATTACCACAATACACAAATGGCGTACAACCACATACGTAATGTGCTTAAACTGTGAAAAGGTGACTGCTGCCAGAGGTATATAGCAAAACTATTTAATAAAGTATGTGATACTAGTGTCATACCAAGTAGTTATGAACATCTTCAGCGGCCTATTTCTGTCTTACCTCGGCCAAAAAGTAAGGAGAGATCTTACATGCCGCCTTCCTCTCGCCTATATAATACCCTCCCCAACTCTCCTGTTACCCGATGCCAAATGGTTCAATCTCTCGTTTGACTTGAGGAAATTATTGAAACATATTTATAACATTTTATTTTATTTGTTTTATTGATTTAAAGGCAAGATTATATATCTTTTCAGATATAGAAAATGAATAAATAAATTAATTAATAAGTAAATATGTTTAAAAAAACAGAACAAAATAAAGTAAAGAAAGATAAATACAAAAATGCATTTAAAACATCTTTTTACCCCTCCCCCCTCCCATCGGAATTACATTGTAAAATTATTCTCACAGTTGTAATCATATTTTTATTAGTACAAACTCTACATATATAGCTTAGAATAAAATATAAGTATAAATTCTAACAACTTTTGAAAAGTATTCGAAAGGCGACCCTCCCTCCCCCCACCCCCACTACACCGACTCCTAGTATATAGAATCTAGTCTACATTCCAGTCGCCATGTATTAAACATGAGGACTGGAAGGAAGACTATATTTGTAGACTCTTACAAATATAATATATCAGGTGATCAGCTGAGTCGGGGATCGAGGTCCGCTGACTGACTCTAAACTGTTTACAACTTGCTCGTGCAGCACACGCCTCCCTAAATGTTTAACCAACTTCGGCAAGTTACGTCAGCGTTAAAATCCATTCCAAACCATAGTTTGACTTCGACACTCCAGAACCAACCCATCACTATTTGTCGCAGATTCTTAGCCAGTATGCGGTTCGTCCAGTTCGAGGAGTCGGGCAAGTCCAGGGTGGGAGTGGAGGTAGAAGCCGGTGGTGAATTTGTAGATCTCTGCGGCTCTGATCAGACGATTCCAGACACCACTTTGAAGCTGATTGAAGGCGGGGCGGATCTCTTACAAAAGGCACACAAGTAATTGCTGAACTCTTATTATTTTACAGTGGATTTATCGTATTGACGTGAAGATAATCATCTTTTTATATGACCCCAAAACCCACGATGACCTGATCGTTTCTCATATCATTTTTTGGCCAACATGCCATGGCCTGAGAAATCCATTCCATTCTACCAATTTTTGGCCAATAAATAATGAGGCCGTATTTGACTGTAAGGCCTTAACCACTCCATGTACTTGTATCAAATATTGTTATTATTTTGGTCATGGGGGGGGGGGGGGGGTACGGGTGGTGTTAAGTAAAAAAAAAAGTTCCTCAAGGGGGGGGGGGGGGTTATGTGGATGTTGAGTAAAAACAGATTTTGCCCAAGGGGGGGGGGGGATGTTGAGTAAACAAACAAAAAAAGACTTTATTATCACTATCGCCCCTAAAAGAACAAAAATCTTCCTCCAAGAAGAACTCCCCAGCTCTGCATACCATCAAGATTTTATTTAAGTGTTAATTTTCCTTTTCTGTAGACTGTATGCCTGTGTAGAGGGAGATTGTACATTAAAAGAATGTTTCTGGGATTTATTGCTGTTTGGTCTACAAATAGTCTGCTTCCCATTTCGTCTATTCCCATATACTGTACATCTACTATTCACATTGTCTGATAATCATTTTTTCTACTTGGTCTAACCATTTAGGCCAATATTCATCTCTCATATATATATATACATGTATACCTGATCCTCAAAATTCTGCCTGTCTGTCACTTTATGCATGATTCACAGTGTCGTTGAGTCTTCAGATCGGCGCGTTGTGAAGAGGGCAGACGTTAAACTCTTGTCCCCCATCACGAACCCTCAGAAAGTGCTTTGTATCGGCATGAACTATCGAGACCACTGCACAGAACAGAACTACCCCATCCCTACCGAGCCAGTCATCTTCAGCAAGTTTGCCAGCGCTATCATAGGTCCTAACGATGATGTCGCCTATCCTGAGCTCACAGAGGCTCTCGACTGGGAGGTCGAGTTGACGGTGGTTATCGGGAAGGGCGGCAAGAACATAAAGGTAGGCAATCGGCATTTTATTATGATATAATATGGTTGTCACGTAAGCCTTCTATGAATGGTTGGGGGGGGGGGGGCATTGACCTCCTATGGCAAAAACCAAGGTGGCATGCTTTAATATCTTTAAATTCACATTTAATTTGAAGAAGTTTTTTTTTGTTGCTTGTCAGAGAACCTCTCAAAACATTAATTCTTGGGAACATTTGTTATCAACCTTTCTAAATACAACAATTTCCTTAACTATTCAGTAGAATGACCAGAATTCAGCTTTACATATTAGTCCATGCACTGTCATAATTTTATCATTCACATCAGTAATTGTCCTAGAAGAATATTTTGTTTCTATTTATTTATTTATTAAATCGTAGCATTATTAGTATTATTGTTCATTGTTTTATACCATTATTATTATCATTATTATTATTATTTCTTTGGTGTGGAGAGCTTGTATTGATTTTCAACATGTGTCCTACACTATTCCTTTTGTTGTTGTTTTTTTTGGGGGGGGGGGGGGAGCTCAAGCTCCACAAACTAAAAAAGGCACTGATTATAGATTCTGGAAATCTGAAAATGTTTGTAGCTAATTATTATTTTCATGTATTTTTTTCCTCCACTGTTTAGGAGGCAGATGCCATGAACCATGTATTTGGATACACCGTTGCACACGACGTCAGCGCTAGGGATTGGCAGATGCAAAAGAACGGAAAGCAATGGCTTCTGGGTAAAACGATGGATGACTTCTGTCCTCTTGGTCCTGCCATTGTCACACCTGACGCTCTTTCAGGTATAACCATTTTCCCCCGAGATCGTGCCCATAGTGATATTTTCATAGAATAAATACATGTAGATTTGGGAGGTTCAGGTTGGGGGGGGGGGGGGGGGGGTTGCTATTTTCAATCTCCTAGATGTTGATGGGGAAGTGTGTAAAAAAATGTATGTGTTATGTACTAATATCCCAAATTCCCAAAACATCTAAATTTGTATTCATATGACCGGAAATATTTATTTCTTTTAGGTGTCTACATACAATAACAAGTTACCATAACAATAAACATTGGTTAAAGAAATGGTGAATCAGTATCTTGAATAAACTTTAAAAATATGTGGTAGAAGTAATTTAGAGACTTGAATGCATATTTTAAATTTGAATCGTTATCTATGAATGCTATAAGGTACACTAGAACATTAAAAATGGACTCGCATATTTGTGTGATATTGTTGTCTTTCTGTGCATGTCCTTTGTGTAATTTATGGCATTCTGGATCCAAATATACTGTAAATTATCACTACAAGGCAAAACTGAACTGCTAAGGGGTTAGAGTAACTCGTACCATATTTTATATTTTCGTCTCAACCTTATGAAATGGCCCTAGATCTACTTGTTTTCTCTTTGTCTCTCCTTCTCTCTCTTTCTCTCTCTCTTGACAGACCCTCACAAGCTAGGACTGAGATGCAGAGTCAATGGAGAAACCATGCAGGAGAGTAACACAGAGCAATTGATCTTCAAGACTGCTTCCCTCATACAATTTATTTCACAGTAAGTCAGAAGAAAGTATATTTTACATACATGAAATGATATTTAATACTACAGTCACTCCAATAAGAACAACACCAGACTGACAAAAAAAATGAATGAATGAACAAAACTTAAAAATTACCAGGAATGTCCAAGAGTTGGTGTAGATTTGAGCGATGTGACTGATGTATAAAACTGCAAGTCTGATTATTTATTTTAGTTTATTTTGGTTTCATTCGAAGGGTGACAAGGGAAAATATCTTTATACTACATGGTTACATTTATCACGGTTAGATATTCAGTCTAATTGAAAGTGCGGGAATCGTGTACCGGTAGATAGAACTGCTTCATCACATTTCTTATTTTATACAATTATTTCAATCAAAGATATATGGCAAATGAAAAGGTCCACTTGAGTTTTATTCTCATTGTCATATGCCAGAGTAAAATGTCTTGATTTTTTGTGCAAGTCAGGAATGGCAAATTAGAAGGAAAAAAATAGCTGTGTGCAGCCAAGGTCCTTTGGTAACCTTACATGTGTTCTCATTTATCTATTTGGCAGAAGATTTGAAAGTGGGAAACATAATGTTTTTCAAAAACCCCTGTGGTAAGCCTCAGTGGTTAATCGTGGCAGATGTGAATGAGCTTTTATGAGGTTTTTTTTAACCAAGATTCAAGAGAGATGGTCTTATCCTTCTTCCACATTTTTATGTCACTTGCTCATTTCATTCATTCCCCCCCCCTTTTAGATTTATAACATTGACTCCTGGTGACATCATCTTAACGGGAACGCCCCCAGGTGTGGGTGTCTTCAGGAAGCCAGACCCTGTCTATCTAAAGGTACCTTAGAATCAGCCAATTGGCATTTTGAGCTCTGAGAGGGCGCTGCACTGCAGTTACCACCAGAGCCATTTATACATAGAGTTTGGCTAATTTGGTTTCAGTTGGTCACAACATGGCGTATATTCTTTTGTTTTATGCTTGTCCAATAAAGCAATAGTCGCTATATTGTGTCCAACTTGAACTGGGTTGGCCAAACTCTGTGTATAGATGGCTCTGGTTACCACCACCAAAGCCATCTATACACAGAGTTTGGCCAACCTGGTTGCATTTGTTCACAACATGGCTTATATTCTTATGTTTGGTGCTTGTCCAACCAAAACCGAATTGGCCAAACTCTCCTGATAATGACAGTGGTATTCACGGTTGGTGTCTAATTTTTGGACACTAAATTTTGTTGTTGTCGTACTGCAACACAATTTTAATGCCGTTCAGACTCTGTGCACACAATACCATATTTTGTTTCAAATTTCAAATTTGCATGTAGCATCAATGGAAACAATTCTTTTCATTACATATGGACAGACAAACTTGAATCTTGATTAGTGGGGGAAATATTCTTTGATTTGTAAGTAGGAAATTCTGAAGAGGAAAATGGACAATTCCTTTCCCTGAACCATTCTAGTTTGATTACAGATACAACAGTTATGAAAGTGATGATTATAGAGGTTTAATCTGATGAGATAATGATAAAGATGAAATGAATTTAAATAGCTGAACTTATGGGGGGGGGGGGGGGGTGAAAGACATGGTCTGCCTATGCCCCCTTCAAAAACCAGTTTGGAATCTCCTATTATGTCATCAAGTGCCAGGACAGGTCATGGCCCTCCATTTCTGTCTATTATCTGCTATTCTTAAAAAGCTGGTATTGCTGATTTAATTTTTGGTAGCCTGTTTGTTCAGGTAAATTTGTAGATTTTGTTTCAGTCGAAATACAGCAAATATAAATAAAATGTACCAGTATGAAAATTTGTAAGAGTATTAAGACGTTTCAAAGAAAGAAAAGGAAATTTGGCAATGGCAAAACATTTGTACACATTATAAGAAGACAAATTACAGATGGATAAATCAGAATATGTGAAATTCTTATCATTATTCCTCTTCTCTTTTATTCACAGCGTGGTGATGTCGTTGAATGTGAAATCGATGAGATCGGAACTATCAGGAATCGCATCGTTTGAGACTTGCAGCAGGACATTCTGGTCATGGTGACAAAAACAAAGTTTGATGAATTTGTTGTTGAACTGTGATGTACTCCTGGTAATTCTTCATAATGCATATAGCTCTCTGAATTCCACCAATTGTGATGCTCTATTTTTTAAAATGGAAATCAGCTAAGTTGCTGGGAAGGGTTCTCATGATTATAATCCTCCATGCACACCTTTTATATTGGTGGCCATGGACTATATATCAAGAGAGGCATTCATCCTATCAAAAAGAAAGTCTTCCTTATGCTAGATGGACATTCTTGAAGTTGGTCATGAGGACAATCTGTGACAAAGAAGTATTAAAAATCAACGAAAATTGAAAGTCAAAACTTGGCAAAATAATTAAGAAGGAAAGGATTACAAGTGATGAAGGTAGACCAGGGGGTGTTTCACAAAGACTAAGATAAACTTAAGTTGGACTTGAACTATGACAGGCCATTCATGCCACTGCTTGCTCTTACCATCGGTCTCTCAAGGGACGTCACAAATCTACAGAATCTACATTTTTTTACCACGATTTGTACGTCCCTTGAAAGACCAATGGCAATAAATGGTGAGAGTATACAGTGGCGTGAGTGGCGTGAGTAGCCTGTCATAGTTCAAGTCCAACTTTAGTCGATCTGCCAGAGTCTTTGTGAAACACTCCTCAGAAGTTGTCCCAGAGTCTTCATCTTTGATATGTGTTTATGAAAGTGGTTTTGCATTTTTTTAAATGAAAACGGTGAATAAAATTCAATTCGATTCAAATATCAGAATCAGGAGCAAATATTGGTTAATATCGGCTATATATGTGATAGGGAGAATTCATTGAGGTTTCCATCCACTCTCAGACATGCAGATCATGCTAACAAATTTTACTCTCAGTTTGAGTCTGTAAAAAGAAAATATCTTGGGGACCATTTAAAATGTCTGATATGTTATATTCTGGTGTGAAACGTTATGAATTTCCATTTAATAATTATGATAAGTGAAGCAAATGTATATTAGTAAGATGGAGCATTGATCTCTTCCCAAAACATGTCAGATTCACACGTCTGCCCAGGTTTTTGAATGCTTGTTCTGCTTATATCATTGATATTGAGCGAATTATGTGTGATCCTGAAACCTGGATGTTACGATGAGCAAATGGTCATACTATCAATTATTGTAATAAATGTAAATGCTCTGTTCATGCCTTTGAAATAAATTTTTGTTATCATACTTCTTGTCATATGTTGAATATGAGGGCATTTAGAGAGTATATGTACTTTGATAATTAAAGATTAAACATGAATGACATACAATGAACAAAATAAGGATCAACTCGATCTTCTTCATAGTGATCAAAATACCATTTATTGAAAGTGTGTTACATTGCAGCATACTGAATTGAACCAGTGCATAATACATTTTGACAGACTTTATCACAATCACTCTAATATACATATTGTATATTATACAAATATTGCATGCCCTGGCGTTCTATATTAACAAAATATGTGAACCGATACATTCAGAACTTTGGAGGTGAATATATGATATATTGAACAACGAAATACATTCAATATTTGTTAAGTAAAATATAAGGTATTTTTGATCCTTTGGAGGAAGGCCTTCCCAATTAAATTTATGTTGCCTTTGCATCAGATACGCACAGCTAAGATAATGCAAAGAATGGATGCGCAGTCTAATTAATTTTTTGTGCGTCTTTAACCGTGCAAAAAAAGGTTTCTGTTACAATAAATGCTTGTGCATATAATTTTTTTTCATTGTCACATGACACCTTTTCAGCCAATAGGATATTCTCTAACAAATACCCTATCTATATTTCCAAATGTTGAATTATATGAGCTGAACAGCAACTAGAATACCCAAGTGATATCATGATAATATTAAATATTTATAGAGCGCATAATAATCAAACTTTCTCTATTTGATGTACAAGCATGAATGACAAGAGAAATATAATCACACAAAGAAATCAACGAAGAGAAGTATACAAATCTTATAACTACTAAAATGACTAACTTTAACATAGTAACTGACATTGTAGAAATATAACTAACATGGTCAAAAAAAATAATGTAAGTAAGGACAAAATACAGTTTAATCTTTAAGGCCAAAGTGGTGCGTTTTTTAGTAAAGATTTGAAGTCGCCATAAAATATATATAGAATAAATAATTTAATGTTGATAATCAATATTCATCGACACAAAAGAAACATAGTCACATACATTTACAATATGTATGCAATCAATAACTAGATGACACAAGTAATATATATATTTAGGGTTTTTGAATTATATCAAAGCAAATTCATCTCAAAGAAAAGAAAAGTTGTTTATATAATTCGTGATATTTTTAATATTAAAAGCTCTATTTGTGCACTACATTTATTTGGATAAGAATACATGTATATTAAGTAATTTTGTGTTTTTCCTTACTTTTGTTTGTGTGCCACGTTTAAAAAAAAAATGGTCTTCGACCATAGACGTTAGGATATCAAGATAACCTTGTAACATTTTTATTTTAAATGTAGTTTTGCCATTGTTTGAAATGCAGCCAGTAAACATAAACGGCCATAGATGTAATTCCTCTTTCAATATATGCACATAATAAGCCTATATTACATGAAATACTCTTTCCCATCTTGCCTGAAATTTTCTAACATACATTAGGAACAAAACGAAAGAAAAGTACGATTCAGTGACCTTTTTAGTGCTGCTATTGATATGTTGCGAAATATACAAATGTGAAGTCGCTAGACCATTTGGAATAGGGAGTGGGTGATGTTTGACAATTATTTGCCTAAGAATATTCATATTTTTGACCCAACAAGAAAAAAAAGCAAGAAGAAAGGAACGGCAGGCAATTATTAAAATTTGATGACGACCTATCATACATAAAATTTTCCTACAGAAAACGTAAGGGGGATTTTACCACCTCCCCACAACACCTCATTCCTCTAGCGACGTCGCCGCCAAAAAAAAAATCAGAAAAATTAAGTACAGAAAATATCCGAAAGATTACAAGAGGGTCTTGAAAGAAAAAAAAAATCAAAGAAATACTTGATGAAAGCAAAATCATTCATTTTAGTCACTGAATTGCCAGTTATCCCGGTGAGGCACTTAACTGCAATAAAGCAAATCGTTGTTTTGAAATGCTTGCTATTTTTAAACATTTGCTAGCATCATGATTTCGGTAGGCTCCATTAATCATAATACAACTCTCTCTTTTTTTCTGATAGTAACCCATAACCTACGAGCATTATATGAACCATATATTGCATTCAACTGAATCTATTCGACATATAAAAAGTTCACAACATTCTTCATCCTAGAAATTATCTATTCAAGTCAAGTTAATTATTTAAAAAACCTAACAATGTACAAAAAAAAGCTAATGAATAGTGATGAAAAGCATAAAAGTGCATGTTTTCAGAAAATAAGTTAAAACTGATCTTTGCGGTGCTTGACTATTTTGAGTAAAAGGGTGTCAGACCAAAAATGTATTTGCCGACAGGGTATATTTAAAATCAGATGTTTATGTTTACTAATATGGAAAAAGGTCATAAGTTATGTGTTTACCGAGAGCCTTTACAGATTTCGATTTCTTAACCCAAACATCCCCTCTTGCGACGCTTCTGTTATAACGAGCAGGATATCATTCTCTTTCAATTTCAATTCTCTCTTTTCTCTTTTTCATCTGTCTGTACTTCCCCATCCCTAAATTCGAATAGTTTTTCGGCCTCGCCAAAATCCAGATTCCCGAGGAGAAAGATCTAAGTGTTCCTATGATAATACACAACAATTCTGTACTAGCCTGACAACCAAGGCGATTATTTGTAGTATGGCCAAATCAAGATATAGACCTAAAATTTTAACCGGCACAATTTAGATTTCTTAATTCGTTCAAAAGATTTTCTTTAATTGTTCACTTCAATTTCCCCTCGAAACTATATTTCCTGGAATACAATTATGCCTTGATCAAATTCGTCTTTGGTCCCTCATGTTTGAAATCTTTACAAATCAGCATCATCCTCAACTTAGTCCAGTTGGGTCAGACGATACAATTTCGCGCCCCTCAGTGACAAATGGCCCTTCACACGAAGCGTCATTTCGATTACGTTATAACCTGCGCTAATTGAACCCGTGAAGACAATTAGCCAATATGACAGTGATTCAACGCCATTACTGCAATTTTCATTTTGCATCCAATAACACTCTTATTATGACGCCTCCGACAGCAACGGGTAGCTGACGGCATCCTACGTCAGCCAAATGACATCTCGTGTGCAACGGGCGTATAGGCGAATATTGTTTCTAAATAAAATTTGGTATCTTAAAATCCATTTCATAATATCGGAATGACTAGATGATCTTATAGGGCTGACGGTTAGTTCTAAAGACTTCATGGGACACACTTTAGGTTAAAAGGATGAGCAAATTTATCGTAATTGGGCAAGCAAAGCTCAACAACAGTGACAGAGACAAGGGCACCCCTCATGTATATCTTCCACCAACCAGCGGACTCGGGGACGGGGAGACAGTAGAACACGCATTTAAATGCTCCTCACTCTACAAAGAGAAAGCAGACGAAACAGACCATTAAAATAGAGAGTACCAGGAAATTAAAACACCATTTCGTCCTTGAGACCTTTCATTCCATTTCTAACCGTTTACCCTCAGCTGTCCACGAAGATGAAGTCGATCATAACAAAAGCTTGTATATGCTTTATTACAATGGCCACCATCAACTTCTAGCCGCCATGAATTAATTCGTATACCCTTTTCGATCGTTTTGAGACAGCTAGCCCAGTAGAACGACAGCCAAGGAGATGGAAACACACAAATGGTAGATGTGTCTTGGACTAGTGGCGACGTCGTCGCATTGACGACCACAGGGTTCGCCGCGGCACTAATGTCCTTTGTCAAGACTTTAATCTACATTTGTCACACTTCACCCAGGTGTTAAACGGGTAACGGCAGGAAGGAATTCCTTGAATGCTGCGAGCACTAAAACGGTATTCTTGTCTTGAGCACCTTACATGGTGGATATGAGCGCTGTATACACATTCAACATTATTTTCATTATTATTTCATTATTATTAAAAATGTTGCCAGATACCAGTGTTCCGTTTGCTGGCGGTCGGGTGAACCTTCTGATAATTTTTCAAGGTGTCAACGCCACCAACACTTTTTGCCTCATGGACTGCGGGCCCAACATGTTAGTGTACCTACAGAAAAAGCTACCAGGAGATCATCGCGGAGACAATTGGGTGTCAAAGATACCCATCAACAAAAGACAACAAGCAACAGCATTATGATCTTTATGTCACTTATCGGTGAAATCTCAGAGGTATTCTACTATGCTTCAGCGGCGACACGGTGATTTTTGAGTAGTCGTTAATGTTATGTTTGCGTCAGCAGCAGGATTCCTCTTGAAGGCTTTTTGAAATTTAGGATGCTTCAGTCCGTAGATTATCGGATTGACTACGCCGTTAGCCATAAGGATCACCGTAGTATACAGTGTGGATATACTGGAACCGGGTATGACGTAATTCACAAGGGTGGGTAGGAAACAGAGCATGAACACACAGACGACCATGAAGAGATTCTTGGTGATCTCAATTTCCTTTTGGTTGATGGCCTTGATCATGGGTGGACATGAACCTACAGAAACGGACGAAGAAGCCCTTTTCGGATGTGCCTCTTTTGAGCTTGAACCGGTATCTTCATCAACCGCGTACTTGTCTCGAAACTGCTTATTGTGTCGCAAAATAAAGCGCAAAAGCATGGTGTAAAACATCAGGGTTAGCACCAGAGCAATAGCAATGAAAACCCCCTGAAGCCTGGAATAATACGAGTTTAGTTCGTTTGCATCTGCCAAAGAACATGTGCCGTAGTATGTGGAATAACCGAGTGTCCCGATGCCTAGAAGAGGAGGTACGACCATGAGTGCGACTGACCCTATCCAGATGATCACCGCTACGGTGGCGATTTTCTTCGGAGTATGGAGATCTCGATGACCACATATAGGCCTGGTGATGACGTACCAGCGGACGAATGTAATATCAACGAGGGTACATACACTGCAGCACACTGTGATGTTTCCTACTGCAGCATATCGACTGCGCAGACAGCCTCGTCGAGAGGGTATATACTTCCTGTTTGACTTAGGAGACCAGCGACTTGGAATGGTAAGCTGGAACACGTCAAAATGTCAGCGAAAGCGAGATTGACCACCAAGATGTTAGTGATCGTACGATGCTTCTTCGTGATGATGACCGAAATGATGACGAGGCCATTACCAAAAAGACCCATCATTGCCAGACCAATCAAGATTAATGAAGCAATAGCTCGATGATGAAAAGCTAATAGTAAAGTTGACGATTCGACGGGGGTTTCAGGACTTGTTTCCATCTTTGCTTTTTTAATAAGCATGAAAAGTCATTACTTATCTCTGAATCATATTTCGTCACTTCGAAAGCATAAGTGAATCACATTTCTAAAAATGAAAATAAACTTATTTTGGTATCCTTTCTAAACATCCAAATCCATTGGTCATATCTAGTTTTGACAATCAATTTTGGCAATCAAGTCGTTTCTTAGAAAAAGACCAATGTTCCCTATGTAATTCCACAAACTGTTCACGTACATGTTCGTCGATTTGGCCACAGCGGATGGAACCATGAACAGACGCACATACAGTCAGTAGTGGATGTTATCAGTACGAAGTGAAGATGTTTGAAACAAATAGATTTCCCTTTTTATATCGTATTAACCTCTTTGAAACCTTTCGGTTTTCACGAGCCATATAATTATGAAAATAAAATATCAATAGAACGCGACTGATGCTTTTTACAATATAATGATCTCTCAAGACCAATAGCAAGTATTGTCGCAATATGAAGTTAATATTGAAACGGAGTCATTATACACCAAATGAATGCGCCTTTTAGTAACGCATTTGATCAACAAGATTAAATAATGAAGTTAAAGCCATAACTCTTCCTCCTATGCCATAAGCGAACACTACGAGGAATATTTTACAAATATTAGAATTATGCACGGAAGTGAGGCTCGTGAAATACAAAATTCTAGTCATCAAATTAAATTTTCTCCTCTTTTTTTTCTTACAGAACAGAAATTATTCTCAATATGTCTCACTCATATAGTGTATCTGTCTCTCCGTTTTTAAATTAGTATCTCCCCTTTCCTCATATACATTCATATGTTTCTTTAATGCTAATTCTGTGTTCTCTCTACGTCTAATGGCCTATCTATATCAGAGCTCATACGAGGTGACTTTTCTAAAAATTGGATGTTGCTTACCTATCATTATAACATCGCTAAGATAATAACATCGCGATAAAAATATATAAATCACGTGTTTACATGAAGTTATTATTGTTCGCATATTTTTGTTTGTTTTATATCTTAATTTGAAATGTTTTTTATTATTCAGTTATTGTATTTGGAAAATGTGGAAAAATAAATAGATATCAAGAACGAATAGTAAAACGGCCCATATCCTTCATTGTTATATAATATTCTTCTTCTTCTTCTTTTATTGTACACGAGTATTATCCGAGTGGTTTGAACAGTCACTGGAGATGCGAAGGTCAAGGGTTCGATCCCCGCTATGGCACTTATGTACTGAAGCAAGGCATTTTATGAAATTTGCTTCTCTCCACCCAAGTGTTGAATGTGTACCCGGTAGTTTAATCTTTATTGGGAGCGTCTTAAAATGGGGCAGGGTGGAATGCTCCACAGGGACTGGAGAATGTGCACACATTGTGTGCGGGCTAGCCGGAGTTCGAAGACCGGGTTTATATTTTTATAAAGCGACATGGTAGATGTATTAAGCGTCATATCATGAACACAGAATTATGTTTAATGGTCTGATCGATTCTAAATGTCCATAACTACTGTTTTTTGTCTAACAGTTACAAGACGAAATTTACTATAGTTTGTAAATTTAAGATAACTAAATCTGGACTAATAATTATTAACCCCTCCTTGAATCATCCAGACTGTCATCCAGAGCTTAGTGAACAGCAGATGACAGGTTCATTCCTCACTGCAACATGGGTTTACGGGGAGGGGTCAATCCCCTCTAGAAAAAATATTCCTCAAGTCCTCAAAATTTTCGCGAGGCACATTTAGAAAACGAGCGCTAAACCTCTAAGCCCCAAAACATCCCAAGCAACCCCAAAGATTACTCTTTAAGAACCGCTAATGCCAAACCTTTTTTCAAACGCCTATGGATTGAGGTCCCTCTTTTAGTCGTTCCATTGGTTCTACGGTGTTATGTACACCAAGTCATCAATCATAACGGAATGTTGCCAACTTGAAGAAAATAAAAAGGGATATGTGCGTGAGAGATAACCACCACCTATCTTAAGCCCATCAGTACTTGTGTAAAGGAGGGATTAGACCACGCTGCAAGGTCACTGGATAGGTGGTTATCTCATCAACTCAGCTCTCAAATAATATAAGAAAAAAAGGATCATGGGGGACCAATGGTCACCGATTGGGTATTGTTTGTTATACAGAGGGCGCAAGTAGCTACAAGTAGTGCAGTGGGCCTTTAAAGTGACTCGGTAACGTTGCCTCAGAGTCTGAATGAAAATCCTGGCTTTAGTTCATACTGCAATCATAATTATAATCATTTAAGTCAGGAATCCCATGAATTTTACAAGCCGATCGCCTGTCTGATTATCAAGATATTTAAGATTGGAAATCGTTTTTTTATAACACTACAGTCTCTTGGGGGAAATTGAGTATGGTAAAACCGGTCACTCAAAGATTTTTACTTTTGTGAGGCACTTCATGATCATTTTGAAGCGCAATTTTTTAGGGCTTCAATATAACGGCATATACCACAGTCACTGATAACACGTAGGGCCATGCATCGCAGATTTAACATTTGTTAAACGATGCCTTTGAATACATTTAGATTCTACAGCTAAATGAGGAAAAGTGATTGATGTGGTCATATTAATAAGACATTCAAAGAGCTTGGCCAATACGCTGTAACTATTACCTGCAATCGGGCTTCTTTGTAATCAGTTTGAGACACGCTCGAGCGGTCGGCGACGACAGCATATGATTCTCTTGAAAGCCTCTTGAAAGTTGGGATGCTTTAGACCATAGATGATCGGATTGACCACGCTGTTCGCTATCATGATCATGTAGCCATAAAGGATGGTCAGGCTTGCCCGGGGAATTACGGAGTTCACGCCTAGCGCTACAAAGCAAATCATGAAGAGGCAGACAACCGTGAAAACATTCTTTGTGATCTCGATCTCCTTTTGGTTGATAGCTTTGATCATAGGTGGACGAGAATCTTGAGAGGAAGATAAAGAAGCCTTTTTCTGTTGTGTGTCTGCTGAGCTTGAATCGGAAACTCTATCATCTGCAAACTTGTCTCGGAACTGCTTATTATGTTGCAAAACGTGGCGCAATATCAGTCCGTAAAACACCAAGGTGAGTATCAGGGCAGTAATGATGACAGCGCCCTGAAAGATGACATTATCGAAGGCCCGTGGGTTTGTATCCGTCAAAGTGCAAATGCCGTAGTATCTTGAATAACCGAGAGTCCCGACTCCTAGAACAGGAGGTATGATCATGAGTGCAACTGACTCCATCCAGATAAACAGCACGACTTTCGCGATATTCTTCGGAGTATTGAGACCTTGGTGACCACGAATAGATCTGGTGATGACGTACCAGCGGACGAAACCGATAGCGACTAAATTAGATACACTACTGCATACGCTGGTGTATCCAACTCCAGCCACAGTTGCACAGAGGATCTCGGGAATCGGGTACCTTCCCGTTTGACTCAAGAGACCGGCGATCTGAAACGGAATGCTGCAACACGTCAAAATGTCAGCGAAAGCGAGATTGACCACCAAGATGTTGGTGACCGTACGGAGATTCTTCGTGGTGATGACGGAGACGATAACAAGAGTATTGCCAAAGAGGCCGATAATTGCTAAACCCGCTAGGACTGATGCAACGATAACTCGATGATGGAAAGCTATAGTTGGCGCTTCTACAGAAGATTGTGTGCTTGCTTCCATCGTTGGTGAATTGAAATTAGACTTTTTAGTATATCAAATCAATATGTCAATCTGTTTTTTTTAAATGACTTTGTGCTTTAAAACTTCCTATTAGCATGATGGCTCCTGGTATTATTTTCTAAGTGACCGAAATATTAAAGGCGTCTTCCAGTGATAGATCGCAGGAATGTACGTGATCAGTAGCTTATCCAAAAAGTGGGAATTACAGATGATCAAGTCAGCATTTATATCATCTCTATTCTCTTTGCCACATTTATAGTCAGGACATTTTAAATATCGTTATGAGCGAAAAGCTCCTGACTTATTGAAGATAAGAGATTCTGAATGATATAATACTTTTCAATTCAATTTAAATCAGTTGTTGCCAACTGTGCAGTTTTATGACTTTCCATGAGTGATAGCCATGAATAAATCAATATCACATTAGGACGAATCTGCGACCGGAAATATATTGTATGTCGGGTTCATTAGATGTAAAGTTAGAGCTTCATTGATCTTCCACCGAGCCATTAGCAAACAATAAACACATAGCCTACATAGGGGCGCAGAAACAAGAGATGCGAAGGAAAGGGGTAAGAAGATGTTACGAACCCCTTCTACTCCCTCTCGCCAATTGATGGCTTTACACATTTGTATTTCATCCATCGAGTATTGCCACCCCGACACACACACACACACGCACACATACACACACACACACACACCCACACATGTCCACATACATACAGTATCAGTGTCCCCACAATGTCTAGACCCGCGCTATGCCCCAACAGAAACCATCGAAATTCACCTTTATGTAAAGTTGTGCCTTTTCATTCAATCGCTATTCTGATACTAATATTTATGTCTACGAATCAAACCATCGTGTATTCAATAAACAAAATCTGCTTGGATAGCGAACTCTTGCCTGATTCATGTAGGAATATATCATGTTTGTAAAATCGTTTTCTCTTTTGAAACATCTTTTTCAACTGAATGTTGAGTCCTATAGTAACATTTAATAAGACATATATTCTTGAAACAGTGAACATGAAACACGTGCGCACAAAGGGCTTAAAAACGCTATTGTATGAGTTTGCCATATTTCTTTGGTAGATATATATATACTCACAATAAATATTTTTAAATATCTATACAAAAATTCTGCCAAGAAAGATATCTTACCGATTTAGATTAAAACAAGATCAAATTGCGTTTTGTTAAATATTGTTATGGAACTCATCGACCACCAGTAGTCTCATTTGAATATGAACAACGTGAAAGAATCATGAGACCTTGTTCACTGTGTGACATACGATCAAATTGTGATGATTTTAATATCTATTTAATTTGTCCCCTCTTTGTTAAAGAAAGAACAATCAAACTTTTAAAAAAACTACACTGAACGACCAAATACTCTTGAAATAAATCATCTCTTTAAACGATTACAAAAATCGCTCCATCCTTATACAAATCTGTAGGAAAATTAATATTCGCTTATAAACTATTTTCTAAAGTCCATATTCGAAGCACTTTATTTTGAACCCATTATAATTAAAGTTTCTTGGCAATATAACAGCAAATTATGTTCATGCCATTATTCACCTTGATTTTAATATTTTAGATTTATTTGGTTGATTGATGCTGTTTTGATAAATTATATTTTTTTGTTCGTTTATTCAGTTTGTTCTTGATTCATTCATTTTTTCAATTATTCATAAATTCTTTATTAATTTCTGACATAGTTAACGAAATTGTATGTATGTTAATATTGTGAATGGGAACAGTGACCTACCATTATCGATGAACTGAAAAATAAAAATAATGGCATCTAGCGTATATTTTTTTTCCACAAAACTGAAGGAAGTATGAGGAATAATTAAAATACGCCAAGAGCATCGACTACCTTCTCCCATCCGATTCGCTGTGATGATGATACAGATAAGGTAAGAAGTCAGTGCTGTACATGTTCATGTCTTACAGGACATATTAAAAATTATACCAATTTTGTTTGTGTTTATAAAATACGTTTTTAGTAAATACGAATATATATGAAAGAGTGAATAAATAACAAATTAGTTAATCAATTATTAATCAAATCTACTAACCTCATGATTTGTTACATAAAAAACTAAAACACTATGTTGGTACAAGTTGAAGGAGTTGCAAAAAAAAAGGGAAAATATCTTCCTAATATTCCCCCAATTACCTATGGAGTTACAACTCCTTCCCGTACAATTTTGATCTAAAATAGTGGTAATTTTTTGAAGATTTTTGTTTATTGTGAGTATATCACGAACGGAAAAAGCCTCACAGCAATCGATAAATGATTTGGGCCTGTTTTAATACTAAACGACGTACAACTAAGAACAAACCTTGAAAAACACTTTGTATTACCTTTAAACGGAATTCTTTGTAATCAGTTCGAGACACGCTCGAGCGGTCTGCGACGACGGCATAGGATTCTCTTGAAAGCCTCTTGAAAGGTAGGATGCTTCAGACCATAAATGATCGGATTGACCACGCTGTTCGCCATCAATATCATGTAGCCATAGAGGGCGAATAGGCTTACACCGGGAATTAAAAAGTTCACACTTTGCGCTACAAAGCAAATCATGAAGAGACAGACAACCGTGAAAACATTCTTTGTGATTTCGATCTCCTTTTGGTTGATGGCTTTGATCATGGGTGGACGAAAATCTTGAGATGTAGATGAGGAAGCCTTATTCTGTTGTGTTTCTGCTGAGCTTGAATCGGAAGCTTTATCAGCTGCAAACTTGTCTCGGAACTGCTTATTATGTTGCAAAACGTGGCGCAATATCAGTCCGTAAAACGTCAAGGTGAGTATCAGGGCAGTAATGATGACAGCGCCCTGAAAGGTGAAATTAACAAAGACCAGTGGGTTTGTATCGGTCAAACTGCATATGCCGTAGTATTTGAAATAACAGAGAGTCCCGACTCCTAGAACAGGGGGTATGTTCGCGAGTGCAAGTGACACCATCCAGATGATCAACACGACTATCGCAATATTCCTCGGAGTATTGAGACCTTGATGACCACGAATAGATCTGGTGATGACGTACCAGCGGACGAAACCGATAGCGACTAAAGTAGATGCGCTACAGCATACGCTGGTGAACCCAACACCAGCCACAATTGCACAGATGATCTCGGGAATCGGGTACCTTCCCGTTTGACTTAGGAGACCGGTGATCTGGAACGGTAAGACGAAACACGTCAAATTGTCAGCGAAAGCGAGATTGATCACCAAGATGTTGGTGACCGTGCGAAGCTTTTTCGTGGTGATAACGGAGACGATAACAAGAGTATTGCCAAAGAGACCAATTATTGTAAAAACTGCTAGGACTGATGCAACGATTACTCGATGATGGAAAGCTATAGTTGGTGTTTCTACAGGAGATTGTGGACTTGCTTCCATCGTTGGCCAATGGATATTAGACTTGTGGGAATTTTGCGTCGTTAAATCAATATGTCCATCTGTTATTAGACGTTTTTTGCGATTTAAAACTTCTTATTAGCTTGATGGCTGATGGTGTTATATTGGAGTTGTCCAAAATATTGAAGGCGTATTGATGGGAATCGCAGAAAATGTACGTGATCAGTAGCCGATACAACAACTGGGAAATGCAGTTGATCAAATCAGCATTTATATTATCTCTATTCTATTTGCCACATTGATAATCATGACTTTTTAAAAACTCGTTATGTGCGAAAAGCTATTGACTTTTTGAAGATGACAGATTCTGAATGCCATTCTACTTTTTTCAATTAAATCTAAATCTGTTGCTACCAACTGAACGATTAATGACTTTTCAAGATTGATAGCCATGAATCAATGATATCACAGTAGGATGAATCTGCGACCGGAAATATATTGTGTGTCGGGTTCATTGCATGTAAAGTTAAAGCTTCATAGAATCTCCACCGAGCCATTAGCAAACAATATACACAATAGGGGCGCAGAAACAAGAGGGGCAAAGGAAAGGGTTGGGAAGAGAAGATGCTTCGACCCCCTGCTTCTCCCTCTCGCCAATTAATGGTTTTTAAAATGTGCATTTCATTCATCGAGTAAGACCGATGTCGCCCCCCCCCCCATCTCTACTCATACATATACACACACGAACGCGCACGTGCACGTGCACACACGCACACACACATACACACACGCACACACGCACACACGCACGCGCACACACATACGCACACACACACACGCACACACGCACGCGCACACACATACACACACTCACACACGCACACAGACACAACGCACACATACAGTTCCTGTGCCCCCACAAATTCTAGACCCGCGCTATGCCACTACAGAAACCAGTGAAGTCAAGCATCATGTAAAACTGTGCCATTATGATTGCAACCGGCATACATTTTTCTTTATTCAATCGCGATTCAGATAAAAGATCTTTATGTCGTCGTATTAAACCATCGTGTATTCGATAAAAAAGATCTGTTGGATTGTGAAATTCTCACCTAATTCAGGTAGCAATATAGTATATTTTAAAATTCGTTTTTCCCTTTCGAGCATACTTTCTTTTTCAACTGAATGTTCGGTCCTATAGTAAAATTTATCAAAGTCATTGTATTGAAACACTTAACATGAAAACGTGCGCACCGAGGGCTTTACAAACCAATTGTATGAGATGAATATTTTTCTTCGGCACACATACCCAGAATGTATGAATTATAGAATATTAAAAAAAATTATTTGCCAACAAAGTTACCTTACCGATTTGAATAACAAATATCGACTTTCTCTTTAAAGATTTTGTTGAGGAATTCATCGACTACCAGTAGTCTTTGGTAGATCTGAACCACGTGAAGGAAACATGAAACCTTATTCACTATGTAACAAACATTCGATTGGTGACAAAGTTCAAGGTTTAATCACTAAGTGCCTTCTTTGCTAAAAAAAAATATATATCTTCAAAACAACTACACTAAACAAGAAGATACCCTGAAAATAAATCAACTCTTTAAAATTA